GCCTCCCAAAGTGCTGGGATTATAGGCGTGAGCCACTGCGCCTGGCCTAATTTTTGTATTTTTAGTAGCAGCAGGGTCTTGCCGTATTGGTCAGGCTGGTCTCAAACACTTGACTTCAGATGATCCTTCTGCCTTGGCCTTCCCAAATGCTGGGACTACAGGTGTGAGTCACTCTGCCTAGTTTGGTTTTCCCTTTAGATTAAGCATGCAGAAAACATTTATTGTGGGGGATTTTAGGGACTTACCGTTACTACCCCATTGGGAATGATAGATTGGAGTTTCATATAGCAATTGACATTGTGAAATTTTCTCTGGCTCTTTGGTCATTTTCTGAACAGGCAACCTGATGGACCATCTGTTGAGAGGCTTACTATACCCCAATGAGGGCATAAAAGCTTCTGTCTGTTACCTTTATGGGAAGCTGTACTCCTCACCAGTGGCCGCTGAGATGCTTTCAGGACACTTCCGGGAGAAGCTTTTTCCCCTCTTCCTTTCCATCCTGGATGGTGCCCAGACAAAGGAGCTGCAGATTAACTGCTTGGGTAAGACATGAGGCTGGAGAAAAAAGGGATAATAAGTTTTTGATATTTTGTTAGAGGACTTGAGATATTGGGTTTTCTAGTAGTATGGAAGTTTGCTGTTTTGCAAAAGATAGAAGCCACAAGGTTTGGGAAATGAGAGGCACACTGTGTGAAAGATGCCTAGAGTTAGTATGACTTCTTAATAGGAAGGAAAGTGGGACAGCAATTTTTTCTGCCTTTAGTCTTTACTGCCTGCCCTAGTGCATCCCGTACTTGCTGCCAAGTTAATCTTTACCTTGTACAGCTAACATCCTGTCACTTTCTTAAGTCAGAAATTCTTCCATGGTTCTCTCTGGCCTCCATGGTAAAGCCCAGGTGTCTTAGTACATTTTATGCTGCTGTAACAAACAGTATACCACAGACTAGGTAATTTATAATGAAGAACCTGTTTGTTCAGAAATTTATTGGTTCACAGTTCTGGAACCTAGGAAGTTCAAGGTTAAGAGGCTGGCATTTGGTGAAGTCCTTCTTGCTCTGTCATTCCATGGTGGAAGGGCAAAGAGAGGGCAAGAGAAAAGGCTAGAGGGGACTGAACTTGTCCTTTTGTTGTTGTTGTTGTTGAGATGGAGCCATGCTCTGTTGCCCAGCTGGAGTGCAGTGAGGCAGTCTCAGCTCCCCACCTCCCGGGTTCAAGCGATTCATCTGCCTCAGCCTCCTGAGTACCTGGGATTATAGGTGCCCACCACCACATTGGCCAATTTTTGTGTTTTTGGTGGAAACAGGGTTTCACCATGTTGGCCAGGCTGGTTTCAAACTCCTGACCTCAGGTGATACACCCATCTCACCCTCCCCAAGTCCTGGGATTACAGGGGTGAGCCACTGTGCCTGGTCTGAACTTGTTCTTTTATGAGGAGCCCACTCTCATGATAACAAACCCACTCCAATGGTGATAGCATTAATTCATTCATGAGGGTCCAAACCCCAGACTCATGACCCAAACACTTCCCATAGGCCCCAGCTCCCAATACCGCTGCACTGGGGATTAAGTTTCCAACATGTGACTTTGAGGGACACATTCAAACCATAGTGCTAGGTTTCTCTGCTTGTATTTGAGGCTGTTTAGCAGCCCCAGTATAACCTTTTAGCTTCCTCTCCTGCTGTGTTTTTTTACATAAATACATAAAGTCTATCAACTGTTCTGAGCAGGGAGATTTCTTATTTTGGACAGAACAGATGAGCACTGTGGATTGGTGCCTGGTGAGGGCCTGTTTTCAGGTAGAAACTGTAGAGAAAAGCATAGTCTATAGTCCAAGGGTGACAGCAGCTTCTTTTTTTCTTTTCTTTTTATTTTGTTTATTTATTTATTTATTTATTTATTTATTTATTTGACGAAGTCTCATTCTGTCACCAGGCTGGAGTGCAGTGGTGTGATCTTGGCAAACCGCAACCTCTGCCTTCTGGGTTCAAACTATTCTCCTGCCTCAGCCTCTTGAGTAGCTGGGACTACAGGTGCATGCCACCATTCCCAGCTAATTTTTTTTGTATTTTTAGTAGAGACAGGATTTCACCATGTTTGCCAGGATGGTTTCCATCTCCGGACCTCATGATCCACCTGCCTTGGCCTCCCAAAGTGTAGGGATTACAGGCATGAGCCCACCATGCCTGGCCAGCTTCTTTTCAAAATTTGGATCAGGAGCTCTGTTATGAATAATCTAGCTATATATAGTGAGCATTCGTTCTATACCAGGCCCTGTGCTGGGCTCTGAGGTCACAGAGATTATCAAATCCAAGCTTTATCTTGGGGGAGCTCACAGGCCAGTGTAGAAGACACACGTGGACAACTAGAGTCTAGCGCAATGAGTGCTATCTTGGAAGTGCACAGCACAGGGTAGGAGCAGGGGACAGGAGAAGCTTCCTAAAGGAAAGGATGCCTGGACTGAGTCCTAAATTGATGGGAGGGGAGGAAGGCAGAAGCATGGGCCAAAGCACAAAGTATGAAGCAACCTGTATCTGTGGTAACTCGGAGCTGGGCAGTATTGGAGTTAGTGCATATAGAACAAAAGGGGGCAAGTACGGGCTCTGAGGTGAGGCCCTGGGCAGTCCTACAGCTCACCTGGCCATAGCAGAGGGCAATCTCAATGATAATACTGGGAATTCCCTATTTTAGTTTTTTTAATTTTTATTTACTTATTTATTTTGACAGAGGGTCTTGTTCTGTCACCCAGGCTAGAGTGCAGTGGTATGATCACAGCTCATTACATCCTTGACATCCAGGGCTTAAGCAATCCTCCCACCTCAGCCTACCGAGTAGCTGGGACCACAGCCTGCACTACCATGCTTGGCTAATTAAAAAAAACTTTTTGTAGAGTCTAGGTCTCACTGTATTGCCCAGGCTAGTCTCAAACTGCTGAACTCAGGGGATCCACGTGCCTTGGACTTCCAAAGTGCTGGGATAATAGGCATGAGCTACCACACCCAGCCAGAATTCCCATTTTTAAATGCCACCTCTTTTTTTTTTTAATTAAAAAAAATTAACCCTATGCATGTTTGTCAAGCCTGAGGGCCTCTTTCATCCTGGTCAAGGGGAATGCTAACCTTCTCTCTTTTCATACAACACTTTATTTATTTATTTATTTATTTATTTATTTGAGATGGAGTCTCAAACTGTCACCCAGGCTGGAGTGCAGTGGTCTAATCGCAGCTCACTGCAACCTCTGCCTCTCGGGTTCCAGCGATTCTCTTGCCTCAGCCTCCCAAGTAGCTGGGACTACAGGCATGTGCAACCACGCCCGGCTAATTTTTATATTTTTTAGTAGAGATGGGGTTTCACCATGTTGGTCAGGCTGGTCTTGAACTCCTGACCTTGTGATCTGCCCGCCTTGGCCTCCCAAAGTGCTGGGATTACAGGCGTGAGCCATTGCCCCTGGCCCCATACAACACTTTAAAGGCCTCCTCTTCTCTGGAGCCTTTCTTTCCTACCCTCTCCCTGCAGCCAGGGGTGTAGTGATATCCTTTGGATCCTTCAAGCACTGTGGGTCTTTGTTATATATCATCTTATTCATTTGCTTTACAACCCAAGATCCTTATAAGCGCTTGTGAGGCGCACACCACCATGCCAGGCTACTTTTTTAGTAGAGTAGGGGCTTCACTGTGTTGACCAGGCTGGTCTTGAACTCCTGACCTCAAGTGATACTCCTGACTCGGCCTCCCAAAGTGCTGGATTACAGGTGTGAGCAACTGTGCATGGTCTTGTCTGACTTGTTTTTGTGTCTGTTTTTCCTGCAGGAGGGTATGCCACCTTTGTCAATAAAAAATATTTGAGTTTCTGCTATGTGTCAGGAACTATGCCAGGTGATTGATGATGTTATGGTGAAAAAACTCACATTATTCCTGCTCTCATGAAGCTTACAGTTAGGCCTAGCACTTAGTGGGCTCTCACTAGATCTGTATGGAAGAGAGATGGATGTGAAAAGCAAATTAGTGCTTAAGGATTCTAACCATCCTTTATATTTATGGAGACACAAAGAAATTCCTCTGGGCTTGTCTGAGGAGCTATCTTGGGAATATGTTGGTGCCTGTGTTCCTTTCTTTTTACTTCCCATTTCTTTGTTTCCTAGGTTTGCTGAGGCAGCTATTGAAGTATGATCTCTTTGTGTCCATGATCATGAACAAGGTTGCACTAGGAGAAAGTGCTAAGAATATTGAGGGGCCCCCAGGAGATCCCTCACTGCCCTTGGTGCTCAAAAAGGTAATTGTTTTGTGATTCCTAGTCTCTAGGTTCAATAATAAGTGGAACTAAGTGCTTTTTGGGCCTTGTCTTCATCTACCACTCTTATCTCAGATTTCCAAGTGTTTTCTTACTGGGCAAAACAATACACTGGCTGGGAGCAGTGACTCATGTCTGTAATCCCAGCACTTTTTCTTCTTCGTCTTCTTTTTTTTTTTTTTAAAGACAGGGTTTCACCATGTTGGTCAGGCTGGTCTTGAACTCCCAACCTCAGGTGATCCGCCCACCTTGGTCTCCAAAGTGCTTGGATTACAGGTGTGAGCCACCACGCCCGGCCCTCTCCCAGCACTTTGGGAGGCTGAGGTAGATGAATCATGAGGTCAGGAGTTCGAGACCAGCCTGGCCAATATGGTGAGACCCCATCTCTACTAAAAAATACAAAAACATTAGACAGGCGTGGTGGTGCACACCTGTAGTCCAGCTGCTTGGGAGGCTGAGGCAGGAGAATCCCTGGAACCTAGAGGCAGAGGTTGCAGTGAGCAGAGATGGTGCCACTGCAATCCAGCCTGGGAGACAGAGCGACAGAGCAGGACTGTATCTCAAAAAAAAAAGAGGGCCGGGCGCGGTGGCTCAAGCCTGTAATCCCAGCACTTTGAGAGGCCGAGGCGGGTGGATCACGAGGTCAAGAGATCGAGACCATCCTGGTCAACATGGTGAAACCCCGTCTCTACTAAAAATACAAAAATTAGCTGGGCATGGTGGCGCACGCCTG